CTATCCCAAATCCAAACATCATTCAACACATCAATCTTCCTTCCATCATAAATCTTCCAACGAACGGAGCTACTCAAACTACGGGCTCCTTCACAGATAATCTTCCAGCAGATAGAGCTCCCCTTCCTCCCATCACAATGCCACGGATTATCCCCATATTTATGCCTCATACATTTCTGGAAAAGCTCCACTAGTTTGCAGATAAACTCCCAAGTAATACGAGCTCTCAACGGTCCAACCCAGTTGTCACTAGTATGAAAACCAAGGCCACCCTTGCATCTTGGACGTGCCATGCTCTCCCATGAAGCATAGTGTATGCTTTTATGTGTAGCATCTCTATCCCAAAGAAAGCTGCTACAAATCTTCTCAATATCATTAAGAACATCTCTCTGCACACCAGTATGGGTCACCATATACACTGATAAAGGTAATAACACTGAATTAATCAATGTAACCCGTCCAGCCAAAGACAAATGACGGATTCCCCAGGACAACGTACAAGCTCTGGCCTTCTGAATAAATGGCGTGAAATCCTTCTTAGAAAGTCTCCTCAGTGCCAATTTAGCACCCAAGTATTCCAACTCAGCAACTTTACAGTAGCCAATCATCTTAGCTAACCGAGATCTAGTAGTGGATGAAGTCCTCTTGCTGAAAAGAATAGCAGATTTGCCATTGTTGACTCTCTGTCCAGTCCAGCTACAATAGTCTTCAAGAATAGCATTAATCTTCTTAACATTGGGGATTGAAGCACCTGCAAAAAAGAGAATATCGTCAGCATAAAGGAGGTGAGAGACAGAAGGTCCCCCAGCACTGATTGGCACTCCCAACTCCATGAAATTTTGATGAAAGTGTGCCGATAACAGCTCTGCACATAAGATGAATAGATAAGGTGACAAAGGACACCCTTGACGGAATCCACACTTTGCATTAATCTTCTCAGTTAACCTCCCATTTATAAGGATAGAAAATTGTGGATCCATAACACATCAAAGCACCCAAGCAGTGAATCTAGGTGGAAAACCCATACGTTAAAGAACAATCTCCAAAGTTCTCCAACTCATCTTATAATACGCCTGCTCCATATCAACTTTTAATGCCAAGAAACCCAAGGAAGATTTAGATACCTTGAACTTATTCATCATCTCTTGAGCAAGCAAACAATGATTTGAAATTGATCTCCCTGGCATAAAAGCTGCTTGCTCCTTCGAAATCAGTCTTGGCAAAACTCCTTTGAGTCTATTGACCAAAACCTTTGCCACAATTTTATAAATTGTTTGACAAAGACTAATAGGTCAAACTTGGAAGGTTGATCCGGGTTATTGACTTTAGGCAACAAAATAACAATAGTTTCCTTCCAAAGAGGTTCCATAAAACCTGTAGAAAAAAACTCCAAACAAGCCAAAGTCACTTGTTCTCCAACAATCTCCCAAAAGAATTTAAAGAAAGAAGCAGTCACACCATCTCTTCCAGGAGCCTTATTCCAACCCAAAGAGCAAACCACATTCCAAATTTCCTCCTTAGTAACCTCAGCATCCAGATAACCAGAAAAATCAGCTAGAACGCTCCTCTGGACCTCCAATGACGGCCAGCCTCCTTCAACAATACTCTGCCCCTTCCATTTCTTCTCAAAGAAATTAAACATCTCCAAGGAAATATCATCCTGGGCTGAAATTACCGTCCCATCTGCCTTCTTTAAAGAATCAATACACTTTTCCCTCCTTCTAGCAGATGCCATTGAGTGAAAGAAATGGTTATTACCATCCCCTTCCTCTATCCACCTTACCTTGGCTCGTTGCCTCCACCACGTAGTAATACAAGATAAGGTACTATTCAGCAAAACGAACCTTGTACTTCAAAGCTTCAACTTGAACATCTGTTAATTCCCCCGGCAAACATTCCAGCTCCTGAAGAACTTTAATCTCCTCATCCAGCTCACCCTTCAATTGATTAAGTTCTTTAAGTTTATTTTTACTCCAGAAGAAAAGAGCCTTCAAAGTTCTTTGGCATTTTTTCTGCAATTTGGAAAACTCACTACCTGAGTCCTTCACACACCATTTCTCCCGGACCAAATGCCAAGCTCTAGGGACCAAATGCCAAGCTCTAGTTTAATCCAATGAGAGTGAGTCCAACTCACAGCACCCTGAATTTCACATAAAATGGGGCAATGATCAGATGCTAATCTTGTTAGATGTCTCACCTTCAAACCTTGAAACGAATCCAGAATAGAAGAACTGATCAAGAATCTATCCAATCTAGAATAGATTCTACTCCTTGCATCCTTATTATTAGTCCAAGTGAAAGCCGGCCCTATAAAACCTGGATCAACCAACTCATTCTCTGCCACAAAATCACCCATTTCACTAGCAGCTAGTGAAAACTGAAATGGCTTACCCCCCTTCTTCTCCTCCTGAGATAGAATACAGTTAAAATCCCCCCCCACCACCAGTAAGGGACAATCATCTAAATGAGACCTGGAAATATCATTCCACAAAAGTCTTCT